AATCCACACTAATCATAAAAGAGGTATGTCTGTACGTCTAGGAAACCAGAACAGAAAGGAAGACGCATTGGAGGTCTGGATATTTGAAGTAGAAAAACAGTCTGAAGGCTATGGGGCATTCCTATAACAAGGAACAAGTTGTTGAGCAGATCTTTCTTACCCTGAGAGGAATAATGTGGTTCCTGTCACCTTAAGATAAAGGGCTAGGAAGGAAATAGGATAGATAAAATGACTATCTAGTGTACTGTCAGCCATGAGACATAAGCATTATAATAGTCAGAACTCGAGTCTCAGAAACCTGATCATACTACTCTGTGTATTTCTATAATTAGCTCTACTGTGTTTTCCATGAATAATTAGTAAAGTCCATTTTGAAATATTAATATTAGCTAATCTCAACATATTTAAAGACGTCAGGGAAAGCAAGTCCTTTGCTTTTTTAAAAAAACAAAAACAAAACTAATATTTAAGCCAACTTTACAAGAGTATCATTGTGAAGACAATGTTTTTTTGTGCATCCTTTGTGCAGAAACTAAAATGGTAAAAATTAAGAATTTATATACCATCACAGGAAAACAGAAATGCTCTGATGAAAACAATCTAAATAAATCCCTAGATCTGATTAACTCATTTGGTGATTCTGTCTAGGCAATCTTTTCTAAACATCACTACAACAGGAAGAGTAACTAAAAACAGCAAAATTATATTAAATAAAGGATGAAGCCCACACTTTAATACAATCAAATTTTTAAACAACCAGGATTCCAAACTGTTTCCTCTAAGCTCTAATTTCATGAGATATTAAGGGGAAAGAAAAGGAGGGGCTGTCTTACATGCAACCACTATGTATTTTGGTATCTACATGGCATACTACCCAGAAACAAAGTCTGTGAAATTAAAATTAGCAGATAAAGCAACACTGGAATTATTAATAACTACACTGAAGCAAATCATTCCTTTACCTTCACTGTGTTACACTGTTAGAATGTCTTCTTCCCCACACTTATTTACCACACAACCTAGTATCTAGGATGGTGCTGGACACACAGTGAATGCTCAACAATCTCTTGCTGAATGAACTATTTGCAAAGCAATTTTCTACTGTGTTCAATACACATCCATCAGGGTTAAATAAACACAGTAGCCACAGGGACCTAATGCACTTCTTCACTATTATTTCAGCTTGAAAAATGACCATGGCACTTTGCAATTTAATAATTTAAAAACAACAGCCAGTTCCTTTTTGGTGTGCAGTTTCATTTATTCACACATGTCCAGAGTTCTCACCTTTAATTGAAGGAGAGCACTTAATTTCCAAGTTGTTTGGCGTAAGAGTAAAAATAATCCTGAAAACATCTTTTTAATACTAATGAAACAAAGAGATATCTTTAGAAAATCTTCTCCATTTCTATATTCAGTGATCCAGTTGTAGAACTAAGATATACTTACATACCTATATATGCAGTTCAGAGTTGAACGACTACCTTAGTAACTAAACTTACAGACTGAGATGGGAGTAAGAGAGGATTTCTTTGAAATTTTATACGCTTAACAACAGTTACTTTTTCCTGAGTCTTTAGTAGATTTAGTTTACTAGATTATTTGCAATAAAAGGCAGAAATTATCCCATCCAAGTACTAACCAGGCAGTAAAAGGCAGAACTTGAATTCAAACCCTGAGCTCTAACTCCAGATGCAGAACGTGTAACTAGTGGATGAAAGTGGGACTTACAAGACTGACTGGCCCATAACGCAGGTGTTTCTGTTAAACTCTCACGCAGCTGATTCACAATGCTGCATATTGTCAGTGGACAGCCAAGGGGCTCATTTTATGCACATACCACCCGCCACACCTTCTCAGATCATCATAACTAGATATTGTCTATACTTCCCTGTGCTAGACAATAGGTCTTTGTTGGTTATCTATTTTATATATAGTAGTGCGTATCTGTTAATCCCCCCTCCTTTCCCTTTTGGCAACCATAAATTTAAGTTCATTTGTATCTTTTTTTTCAGATTCCACATACAAGCGATTATGTGTTATTTATATTTGTCTGACTTACTTTACTTAACATGATAATTCTAGGTCTATTCACGTTGCTGCAAATGTCATTATTTCATATGCTTTTATGGCTGAGTTAACACCTCAGTGTGTGTGTGTGCGCCCATACACTGGAAAATACACATATATACACACACAACACATCTTCTGCATCCATTCACCTGTGGAAGACACTCAGGTTGCTTTCATCTCTTGGCAAATGTAAACAGTGCTGCGTGACACTGGGGCATGTGTATCTTTTTGAATTAGCGTTTTCATCTTTTTCTGATAATACACCCAGGAAAGCGAGTACTGGATCACGACAGCTCTATTTTTAGCTTTTTAACAAACATCCATACTGCCCTCCACAGTGGCTGCACTAAGTCACTCTCACACCAGTGGTGTGGAAGGGCCCCCCTTTCTCCACACCCTCCCCAGCACTTACTATTGTAGACTTTCAGATGACGGTGATTCTGACCAATATGAGGCAGCACCTCATTACAGTTTTATTTCCATTTCCTAAATAGTTAACACTGATGAACATCTTTTCATGTGCTCCTTAGCCATCTGTATGTCTTTTTCAGATAAACGTCTGTTTAGGTCTTCTGTCCAGTTTTTGATTGTGTTGTTTTTTGATATTGAGCTGCATGAGCAGTCTGTATTATTTTGGAAATTAAACCCTTGTCAGTTGCAGGGTTTGCAAATATTTTCTCCCAGTCCACACTGCTATCATTTACGTTAAGAGAATGTTTTTTGCCTACCTTCTCTGAGTTTTATTGTTGTCTTATCTGATATTTACATTTTAAGCCAATTCGAGCTTATTTTTAAGTATGCTGTGAGGAAGTGTTCTAACTTCACTGATACACATGCAGCTGTCCAGGTTTCCCACCCTACTTGCTGCAGAGACTGTCTTTAACTCACTGTATATTCCTGCCTCTCTGTTGAAGATTAACTGACCACAGGTGTATGCATTTACTTCTGGGCTCTCTATTCCTTTCTATTGATTCACGTCTGTTTTTGTGCCAATACCACTGTTTTGACTGTAGCTTTGTAGTATAGTCTAAAGTATGGGAGGGTTATGCTTCCAGCTTTGTTCTTTTCTCTCAGAATTGGTCTGGTAATTCTGAATCTTTTGTGGTTCCGTATTTTATTTCTTTGAATCACCTTCAATTTCCTTTATCAATGTTTTACAGTTCTCCATATTTAAGTCTTTTACCTCCTTGGTCAGGTTTTTTCCTGGGTATTTTATGTTATCTTTTGGAGGCAATTTTAAGAGGGATTTTTTTTTTTACTTTCTCTTCCTGATATTTCAATGTTAACACAAAGAAATCTGTTACTGTAACAGGTTTCTGTATGTTACTCTTGTGTCCTCCTACCTTGCTCAATTTGTTTATTAACTCTAATAGTTGCTGTGCAGAGTTTATTTGCAATAAAAGACAGAAACTGAATTCAAACTCTGAGCTCTAACTCTAAATCCAGGGCATTTAACTAGTGGATTAAAGTGGTACTAACTGAGATTGAATTACCCATATGCAGTTTTAATCTCTCCTCAATGCAAAACTTTACATAACATGCCAACTTCTGATTTAAGAAATCAACACCAAAGATCAATTAAAAAGTCATCTACAAGAGAGTTTTAAATTTCCACCACATTCTGTGAGTTCACTGCAAGGCAACCCAAAATAATTTCTTTAGACACAGTCTTTAGACACAGGAGATAATTCTAGCTCTGATAGATGCAGGTTGTGGTTTTTGTCTTAATAGAAATTGCTCTGGTACTTGTCACCTGTCACAACATTCCCCCACATCCTAAAATTTCCAAAATGATCTCTAAATAAGGAACACAAGAGCTTCCATTCTTGGCAGACATATTCTAATTTCCAAGTATCAACAGCAACAAAACCCAAAGCTTCTAAACAAAAGTCACGTAAAGCTTTCTACATAAAAACCTGCCCAGTACGAAATACTTCTGCCTAGTATACTATGAAATGAAATATTAGCAGATTCTAAAATTCAGAGGAAAAAAGAAAACCTGGTCAGTATCAGTACCTAATTACTCACAGAGTAATCAAGTTATCAGTTCTTAACCATACTATCATTCTTCTAAATGGCATAAATTCAGGTTTTACACTTGACCTATACATGCATATTGCAAAGCATTCTTTAAAAGAGAAAAGTCCACACTGAGGATAACATGTATTCATATTACATATATACATAATAAATTAACCGATTAATACTTTAGAACTGGACCAAGATTAGACAAAGTAAATGAAATATGCTTAAATGTATCTTTGTTTTAATTTTAAGAAGGACGCTATGTATTTGAATGCAGTATCAAGGAACAAAGTCAGTAACTAAGAAAAAAATTTTAATAAATGAGCAACTGGCTCAACATGGTATGGGCAATTTTAATAATCCAATCGGCAAAGCCAGAACAGTCTTTAAAAAAAAAAAACAAAAAAAACTGAACATTAGCTTCCCTTCATAATCCAGATAAGAATACTTTTTAACACATATATCTGGCTTGCTATTTGAAATAACCTAATGAGCCCATTTAATTATTCACCAGGCTGCAGTCTTAGAACACTTTTCCTTCTGCATTCTTCAAAGTGCATTTATGACTCTCCACGAGCATCAAGACTGTTTTGTCTATACTGTAATCCGTATACTGTGTATCATTCCTCTCTACTGAAAAACCAAGTAACTAAAAATTACAATAAAGTGACATCAAATAATCTGATTTCCCATTATTAGGTTTTTAAATAATACTAAAATGTTTCACTTGTCCAAACCTGCCACTACTTAAATATGGCCTATCTATCCCAGCAATTCATTACTAAATAAGTCACTTTTAAATAGGAGCAATTTGAACGATCAGGTTGAAGCTCATTCTATTTTCTATCAGATTATAAAGTAGTCACATAAGGCTTATGAGTGCTAAGAAGGACCCATCTTACCTTTCTCAGTTGATACTTTTTCTATGCATCTGAAAGAAAAAAAGAATCAAATGGTAAATGAATAATCTCACACATTTTCTTTACAAAGATTTATCCTTTTCAGGTTCATCTCCAGAAAGATACAGAAAACATCTAGAGCAGTACTGTCCAGTAGAACTTTCTGCAATGACAAAAAATATTCTACATCTGTACTGTCCAACATGGCAGTCCCCATGTGGTTCCTGAGTGAGTGAAATAGTTATGTAGTTGAGGACTGAATTTTCAGTTTAGATTAATATAATTTAAATGGCCACAAGTAGCTATCATATTTGACAGCACACAGCTAGAATAGCATTCATAATAGTTGTTTTTAACTGTAAAAAAAATATCGATACAAAGAAACTACTGCTAATTTTGTTGTATTAAATGGTCATAGAAGAAAAATGTCTTCATTTTACACAAATGCAGTAACTAGTGGTGCGATGAAATTTTTGAGATGTCCTCCAAAATACTACTGTCAAAAGAATCAGGGGGAAGAAGCATAAAGGTAGGAAGAATGGCAAAATCCTGATAACTGTTAAATCTAGGTGATAAATACTGAGGATTGATTATTATCTCTACTTTGGATATATTTGACAATTCTCATAATAAAAATTTAACGAACCTAAAAAAAAAGTCCTAAAATTATTCATTTGTTAAAGTCAAAATCTATTTCTAAAATGGTAGAAGACTGGACCTAGAAACAAATGTAACTTGAACTTTACAAATTAGATAGGAAGAGTAGAGAGTCTAATGTGCAATAAACTGGCAGTTAAAAAAATGTCATTCACATGTTTTTAATTCGGGGAAATTTCTATCAAACGTTAACCGCTGAGTACAGTATAATGACTCTCCTCTATGGCCCTTACCCAAATTCAGAGTTTACCTGTCTTGGATCTTTCCCAAGATGCCAAACAGCATCTCTGAGCAGTATAAAGTTTTCTTTTTTTTTTTCTTTTTTGAAAATAAACCTAATACAAATGAAGACTCTCATGTTACAAAGAATATCCAAACAGATACTGAAGCCACAGCATAATACAAATTCTGTTATCTTCAGAGAGACTAGATATCATCTTCTCATCTCATTCATTTTTTTAAAAGCTTGGTATTATAATTTATTATATTTTTAATGTCCCAATTAACAACTAACACAAGAATACTGCTCATCATCCTAGCTCTAAATGAAAAGTCCATAAATCATTGTTAGATGTTGAAACACTATGCAATGAACTTTCTGAAAGCCTACAGGAATGGTTCAGTGTTTTCTTTACCAAGATCACCGCAAAAGGAAAACTCAGGATTTCGGGCTTGTACAATTGAAGCCTTCTCTAAAGAGCCACAGAATCCAGAATTTTTCCCACTTCGGACTATTACTGCCTCTTCATTCTCACTATCATGACCATCACTTTCTCCTTACAAAAAGAAAGTGTGAAGCAAAGGCTTACTACCATTTTACTTTCTGCAAGAAAACAAACCCCAAATGGAATTCCATATACTGGAAAACAATGCAGTATTTGTTTCATTTGTAACTCATCTGAACCTGTAGGTTTACCACTAAGAATACTGTTTTAGCCTATATTCCTATATTCCTTATGGTGAGGAAAGAAGAGCTTTTCTCAACAGCTGAGAAATTTTTTTAAAAAGTATTAAATTTTGAAATGCATCAGATAATCAAAGAACTTAGTATCACACAGTAGGAAGAAGATAAGTCTTCTGCATTTAAAGTAATCTTATTTTAACAGTTATAGTGTTACCCTATTAGTAGAGAATGGATGTTTTAACTTCTAAACCAGAATAAGCTGGAGTGTGTCTGTGTATACACAGATACCTGTATATACCCATACATAGATAGTTATACATTTTTAAGTTAGATGAGGGTATAAACATCTGCATTTGAAGCATAAGAAACTTAACTCTGGAATTTATTGGCTAAAATACAGCAAATAAAGAGCCTAATTCTTAGTACTAATATATAACCTTTCTTCAGATTTGGTTTATCTTTCCTTACTATTAGCTTTTAAGCTTTTAATTTAAAATGATTATAGATTTAACTTAATGCCTTTTGCTTGAGCACATTCACTGAAAAATTCTTTTTATTCTCCTTCACAAAGAGTTCCTATTCTTTCCATTAATTTCTGAGTATGTCAATGCAAACAGAAAAACTGTTATAAGATTAGGAAAGTTTATAAAAACAGTAATTGTCATTAACTGTAAAGCTCATTCCACAAATCATAAATTATCAGCTAAAGATAAAGAAGCATATTCAAGGAGGTTAAGTGACTTGCCCAAGTTCACTTAGTAAGCAGTAAAAAGCAATGCTTTTTTCTATTTTGCCTTGTAAGAGGAAGAGATTACAATCAACCCAAGTCTATTTACTGACACTTGAAGCTACTGTACAAGTCACTTTGCTGTTTCCTTGATCAAGAGAAACAAAAGTAGGTTAAACAGTTGATTACTGGGAATTTATTGGGAGAAATGTTATTTGGAAACAGAGCTCAATGAAGGTCAGAAGGCACTTGACCAGGGTTCAATGATCAGACATTTCAAAACCTGAAATATCTTAAAGGGTAAAGTTTCTCAATTTTTAAAATTTATCGCTCTGAAAATCTGTAAACCGTGCATACATCTGACAAACCTCCACTACTCAATGCATCTTCCCCCTTTACTGAAATCCATGTCTACTTTTCTTTATAAATCCTGGCTCAGCACACTACCAGACCCAATTATTTGCTTAATCAAGGTTTACTGAGCTGAAATGCTTTAGGAGGTTCTTCAATTTCTAGAGTATGTAGTAAATTGAAAAACGTGTAACAAAAAAATTATTAAAGTGACAATTTATCAAACAATCTAATCAAAACTGCATAATTTAAAACATACAGTTAAGAAATAGTTCTGAGGCTAAAAGAACACTACAATCTTTTATGATACTGGATGTGAGAGAGAGGGACTTTTAGGAATTAAGACTTTTCTTTCCTCCCCACAAGGAACACTGGGGAGAAAAAGACTTAAGGGATTTAATTAAATCATCCTTATCCAAGTTCAACTGCTGTAACATTTATGTTGTGGAAATAAAGACTCAGTACTTTTTTGACAGAAGTTAGGGAACATAATAAACCATGAGAGGTGGTAAAACTAACACTTAAGAGATTTTCTCTAAGTAAAACTGATCAATCACTGGGACGGAAACGTGCTAAGGAGATATAGCTATATATAACTTTCAAATGAATAGGTGAAAATGGAAGGAAATTTTTAAAAATTAAGTTATTAATCTTCCTGTGTATGGTTACAGAAAAAATTAAAAAATCCAATTTGGCAGAATTTACATGAAAAACTCCACTACACAGTAGTTATACCTCTACTGTATACAGTACATAACTATACTACTGTATACTATATATATACTATATATTATATACTACTATACTGTATACTACTACATAACTATATATCGTAGAGGTATATAATAGGTAGCATATCACTGCTCAAAACAAAAACTTTCAATATTTTCTACGTATCATGCTTTGTATTAAGTGCTCCACTTAAGTCTCACAAACTCATCTCATTGAGCTTAACATTATCTTCTATAGATAATAAAACTGAGGCACAAGCTGTTTAACTTGTCCAAGGAATTTATATCCAACTAAGGCCAATGACCTACCTTTTCAAATTTATGACAGTAAATACTGTTTAAATTTTTTGTCTATGACATTCATTTACAGCAATTATTAATCGAATCCTAACTGCAGCTCAATCATTTATAAGTACAGATTTTTGTTGTCCACAGAAATTTAATTTACACAATTCTCTAAATTATGTTAATTGGTGAAAGTCGCTCAACTGCCCGACTCTTTGCGACTCCACGGAGAAACCCCCAGGCCAGAATACGGGAGTGGGTAGCCTTTCCCGTCTCCAGGGGATCTTCCTAACCCACGGATCGAATCCAGGTCTCCCGCATTGCGGGCGGATTCTTTACCAGCTGAAAGGAAAGTGAAGTCGCTCAGTCGTGTCCGACTCTTTGCAACCCCATGGACTGTAGCCCACCAGGCTCCTCTGTCCATGGGACTTCCCAGGCAAGAATACCGGAGTGGGTTACCATTTCCTTCTCCACTTTACCAGCGGAGACACATGTTAATCAAATAACATCCAACAATTTGAAAGCACATCTAAAACACAATATACCTTCGAATGTTCTTTCTTTCTGAGAGTGTTCCAAGACATGTATGCCAAGGTCACAGACTTCACTCTTAATTTTGGAATAGGTGTGTTTCAATTTTAAATTGACCGAGCCTGTGTAAGCCAAATATTGTCAGGATCTCTACTGGGGAGGTAGGGTGACTGCAGCGGCCGGGGGCATTTAAAACTGATTTCTCCCCGCACCTTCAATTTTTCCTGCTTTTACTAAGTTTTTTTTTTTTTCACTCGAAAATCAAAAAGACACAAAACTCTTCAACGAATTCCTTGGCTAATACGCTTCATTTCTACAATTCACAAACACGTGTAGGCACAGAAACATTTTAATGAACAACTTAAAAAATATATAGATTCCTGGTCATCTTGGTTCCTCTATGACCTCTCGGGGATGAAAGAATTCCTTTCATATTATTCAAAATTTTATGGACGAAGTCCCTGTATTAACACATATCCAAAACACACACTTGTGTGTGCCTCAGTTTTATTATCTATAGGAGATAATGTTAAGCTCAATGAGATGAGTTTGTGAGACTTAAGTGCAGCACTTATACAAAACATGATACATAGGAATAAAGAAAGTTCTTGTTTTTGACACTCGTCAAAAAAAAAAAAATACCGCATTTCAGAGCCTACACTTAAAATTGGCAAGCCACGTTTTTATCCTACTAATAAGTTCTTTTTCAAAAAACGAGTGAAAAGTAATGTGAAAATTTAGTACGTTTGAAAAAAAAAACCCGAACAAACTGCATAACGATCCTAGTACAACTGAGGTTGATCAGGAGGGAACGACCTCATCCTAGGCGCTGAGATCGAAGCCCCCGCCGCCGGTTTCCCAACGGGGACGCGCCGTAACAGCGGAGGCCGCCGCGCGGGGGAAGGGGCCGACGGACGGAGGGCGCGCGGACAGCCTGGGAGAGCGGGCCCGGGCGGTAGACGCGCGCCACGCGGGGGCCGCTGGCAGGCCGGCGGCGGGGGCCGCTAAGGCGGGAGAGAGGAGGAGGCAGGCAGGCGGGGGAGCGCCGAGCCGGCCGGCAGGGGGCAGAGCGGCGGCGCGTCACGTGGGGCGGCCGCTACGGGAGCCGCGAGGGCTGCGCGCGGGCGGAGGGGGGTCGCTCCCACCACCGCGGAGACGGCGTTACTCACAGCAGGCGCGGGCTCCTCTTGCCCTGGGCCGGGGACGGCGGCTTCGCGGCCTGGGCCGGCTGCCCTGGGGCGTCGGCGGGCCTGGCGCTGGGGCTGCTCCTCCGCCGGCGCGGGTACTCGGCCTTCCTCCGGCGGGACACGGCGGCGGCGGCGGCCGCGGCGGCGCGGCCCCGGTCCCGGCCTCCCCTCAGCACGCGGCTGCTGGGGGGCCCCGCGGGCGCCGCCGCCGCCGCCGCCTCAGGGGGCTGTGGCTGGGGCTCCGCCGCCGCCGGCCCCCCTCCCTGGTCCTGCCGCTCCGGGGGTCGCGGCTCTTCCGTCTCCCCCGGCATCGGGACGCGTCCGCCCCCCCACCCCCTGGTCCCGGCGGCGGAGGCGGCGGCGGCGGCGGCCGCGGCGCTGCTCCCCCCGCCCCCCGGAGCGGCCGGCTCACTCACTCTGCGCGCCTCTCTCCCCCCTCCCCTCCGCCCGGCTCCGAGGGCGCCCCCCCCGCCCCCTGCCACTCAAGGGCCGGTACCGCTGGGGGCGCGCGCGCGCGTCCGCCACAGGCGCGCAGCGGGCCAATCAGTGGGAAGGAGCGGCTCCTTGGCCCCGCCCCTCGCGGGCTCTCACGTCGCGGCGTCCTGGGCTTCCGCCCACCCCCACCCCGGTCTTCCACCAATCAGGAAACGGCTCCAAGGGAGCGCGCGAGGTTTCCTTCCCCGCGCACCCCTTCTCACCGTTAAACGGCTGCGTCTCGCGACAATCCCAAAGTGACCTTTTTTTTTCCCCCCCACCTCCGGAGCTCAACGCGCGCCCGGGGCAGTGGGAGGGGCAGGCCTCGGGAGGGGGCGGGTAGGAAACGCTCCTCCTTCCCCGCCTCGCGCGCACCCTGGGCTGGCTGCGCGCGCACCTGCCGCCCTAAGGAGCCGCTAAAGCCACAAGGGCTTTCTATCCTTCTCCCTTAAGCAGCGGAGGGAGCCTCGGCGTCCTTCCGCCTCCACCCCGGCCCCACTTTCCTGTCTGTGGCCTTTCTGTCCCCTCGCCGCGAGGTCTTGCGGGGAAGAAGGGGGGAAATTTTTTTTTTTTGAGCTGTCGCTTCTCCTTTAAGAAAAAAAGCCCCGTCGGCCGCCGGATGAAAGTCTCTGAAAAAATGGCGGCGGTGGAACAGAGGCGGGGTCGTGAGGTCAAGGAAGACCCGCCTTCTGGCGCATGCGCGTAGACGGCTCGCCTCGAGGCATCCTGGGAAGTGAAGTTCCGCTTCTCCCTGAGCCTTCGGAAGACAGATGGGAACCCCGAGGCGGAGAGGATGCTGGGAGGCTTTGACTGTTGCGCGCTGGGAGAGGTAGTCGACTGTCCTGTCAGTTCGAATTAGCTCTTCCGGGAGGCGGCGTTTCCGGGTTGGGCCTGGGCGCCCGCCCGCATCCGGGTACGCCTACCGAGCCAGTCGCTGGTTGGGGTCGTCTAGCGGAGTTTCCCGTCACTTTTCGCTTGGTGTTGGCGAACCATGTCAGGGTGCCACGCAGTAGCCCTCACCTCTGGTTAGACTGCGCCGCCGCGGGGACCAGCTAGCGTTCACATACATCTCCTGCATTATCCCGTCTTCTCTGCGCGTCTGGAGGTCAGGGGTTGACTTTGGTGCCGTCGGCTCTTAGTGGGTCTGGCACAATTCCTGCCTCTCATCTGATGCTTAATAAAAGTTTGTAGAAAGACTTGTGGAATTGCTTCTTTCCCCCTGGATATCAGGGCTGAGGACTGGCACCCGCTGCTTAGGCTTGGCCGCGCCCCCTGGGTTGGAAGGAAGGGTGGTGAAGCATTGTTAGCGTGACTTTGTGACCTCCCCAGATAACTGAAGGCTCCACACCACCACCATCACCAGCACCACCTCCCGCCACTCCCCACCCCGAAACCATCTGCTTCTGCGGTTTTAAAATGTCGGTGCTACACAGGAAGCACGGTCAGAACAGCAGCTTTGTCAGAAATTCTTTTTCCACCAGCGTGTGCAACTGAATGACTCTAATGCATCTAACGGGAGTTTACGTTTGCTTATCTCCAAGTTGCCTTTGGTGATGGCTCTGAGCTTTTTGCATTGCTTACCCGCCCGCCCCCCTTTTTTTCCTTTCCTCTATTATAATTAAAGAGCGATCTGCAGGAATGCTTCTCAGTCCCGGAAACGAAAGCACCCAGGGTTTAAAGTCTCCAAAGTGAGTGGATGGAAACAAGCTCGCAGAATCCAATTCTGCATTTCACATGAATCATTTAGTTAAAGTGCAGATGGAGCCCAATATTTTGCAAGCCAAGTGCTGAAGAGCCTTTTTCCTTCCAGTGTTTTGGCTTAGTTACCACTTCAGATTGGGCAAATGTTCATCTTCTCTGTGGAGTGTTTTGCACTTTGATGGGGCTAAAGGCATTTCAGTTGTAAAAACTGGCATAGTATGGGTGGGAGTTTTTCAAAGCTGTGTTTGCTGTGAGCAGACTTTTGGAATGACGCTGACATCCAATGGCTGCAAAAAGTAATGCAGAGGATCTCCTTTAGGTTAAAAAAAAAAAAAGTTTAAAAGTCACAAAGGAATGGAGAATGAGTGATTCCTTTCAGTTAACCTTTAAAAAAAACACTGGGTTGTAGAGGAAAGAATACAGGCTTTGACATTAAGTCTGTATTATATGTATTATAGTAAGTAGCAAAGCTACCTACTAATTCTGTTAACTTTAGCAAATTTCTATTTCACTACTGGTAAAAATGGGAATAATATCTATTTCACAAGACCATAGTTTTAGTTCTTTATGTACTGCCACCTTATAGCAGACCTTTTGAAATTGTTTTATTTTAATCGAGGTGAATAAAACCCCAGGAGCCAAAAAACCGGAAAGTTGACCCCAGGGTCACTTTTGAGAGAAATGAAGGCCATGTAACTAGACAGCAAGTGTGCATGATGGAAACATCTGCCGTTAGAGCCTGGTGTCAAATCTTCCAGTTTCATTCTTCATGACACCTCTGTATGATTGCATTTTAAACCACTGAAATAAACCTGGCCCGAGAATCCAGCTGTAAGCCTGGTCCAGAGAATCCTGTTCTGCCTTTAATAGCTTAATGATCTATTTAGAAAAGCAAGTAAGCATAATTTCTGGATAATTGGGTAAATAAAGACAGCAAAATGAATTGAGTGCTAGTTAACTCTGATGGAAATTTTATGAAGGAGATAATGCTTCCATGGTCTTTCACAGAAAAAAAAAAATCTGAATCTTTCACGCAGTCACAGCAGGCTACCCTACCCACTCTGGGGAAAAAAAACACAAATGCAAATCTGCCATTCCCATGAATTCAAGATAAATCCAGGTGCATAGTAGGTTCTCAAATTTTTCAAAGTTAATTTTGCTTCTTTATTACCTTGGCCAGTGCACAACCAGAACTCAAATCCAACAACCCATCTTTCTGTGTCTCATTTTTTAAAACTCTGACTTCAAAAAAAGAAAAAAAACTCATCAAAAGAGAGGAAGTGCTAAGCAAATACAGGAACCAAAAAGGGTTATAGAGGCTGCTTCACACTGGCTCATTCAGTTCCTTTGCGGTCCTCTTCTCCAGCATATGCCAACGCAGTGCTCTGCAACCTGTGTGTGGTACCAGGGCATCTTGGGTGTGAGACAATGGAAGAACTGGGTGAGTGAGGAGCTCCTTGGAGGAGCAACTCAGAAGGGATTGAAGACTTGGCTGTCATCTCCATGTGTGGTGGGGTGTACTTCTAGCCAGATGGAGTATAGTGTTGGAAGATTTTATTTTCACTGCTTTCCTGACCTCAGGCCAACCAAGAATGAAGCATGAGGAACTATGTTATTTTGGGGAACTACGGGTTCGCTGTTTTTAGAGGCACAATAGGCAAAGAATTTGGTACTAACCACAGAGTAAACTCTGCACAAATACTTTTGAACTGAATTGTGCTTAAATTGTGATTTTGTGAGGAGCGTTTTTGCTCCTTGGGGGGCTGTGAGGAGATCATAGGGGGGTCAGAGTTGGTAAGTTCAGAGATGTGATTTGGGGAGGAAAAGAAATAGGGGGGATTGGTTAAAGGGTGTTACGAAGAGAAGAAATGGACTAGAAGTATGAGAATGAGGGATCCGCAAAGGGTGGAGAAAGGGCAGAGTGTTTCATTTGTTCCATCGCCAAGTATTAAATCAAGAAGACACAGCACTGTCACTCCAGTGCTTTCATTGCTAAGCTTTTTACTGAGAGCAGCTCTGAAGGAACAGATGACCATGGCCTGCACATATGATACGTCCTTCCACTCCAAAGCAACTGAAACCAGCGCTGAAGCTGTGGGCCACATTGCTCAGAGAAAGCCCTGATTTCAAACCTTGGGCGTGCCGTCCTTGGGCCTCATATCCTTTGCCAATTTTTGTTGCCATCGTGCTTATGAACGCTGAGTCACTAAACTTTACCCAGTGTTCAAGCTGTATAATTCCGTGGTGTCTTGGGTGGTTGTATGTCAAAAGTGCAAGTGGCAGCAACAAAAAAAAATCTCGCTATATTGTCTTTTTTTTAAAACATGTTTTGAGAGCTAGAGGAGGAGAGGAAGGAAGAAAGGCAAGTTACCGAAGGGAAGAGGTGTTCATGGAGAGGAAAAGGGTGTTTAATATTCAAATGTGAACTGCTTTGGAAGTAAAGTCTATTTTAATATGTGGACTATAATATATTTTGAATGTGGGGTAGAATCCCAATTCTTATCTTGTGTGAGGGTTGGCGAGATTCACGTTTTTGGCTGAGTTCCACCTGAATCCAGCTCTGCTTTTTTAGGGATACATCATGGCTTTCATGGAGAAGAAAATGGGAACCCACTCCAGGATTCTTGCCTGGAGAATCCCATGGACAGAGGAACCTGGCAGGCTATGGTCCATGGGGTCGCGAGAGTCAGACATGATGGAGCGACTAAAGAGAGAGAGAGATGGCTTTCATGTAGTCATTGGAAAGGGAACTAATCCTTATTCAGTGACTTAAGCTGAAACTATACATTTTTATATGTTAATCATTTTAGTGTTCCAAACAACCCTCTGAAATAGGTATTATCCACTTCTTTTTTTTCAAATAAGGAATCAAAAAAACAAAATAACTTGTTCAGCGTCCCTCATAGGAACACCTGACTAAATGACTAAACCAAAACCTGATTAAATGACAAAGTGTTCTCCTTTTAGAAGTCTGTTGGCCCTGGTGTTCCAGCCAATAGGGCAACCCAGATAATTAAAAGATTAAAACAAATAGATTGGCACAGTTTTACATTTCCTCAGCAGGATGAATGGCGGAGAAATTTGGTCCAGAAATACAGAAACTACCGAGTGGCCTGGAAGGTAACATCCATTCATGTGTTTTATCCAGGTGGCCGAACCTCATCAGGCTGTTAATAGCTGCACCTCAGTCACTTTCAGACTGTCGTCAGCTCAGTATCCACCTGAAAGACTCAGGGTGGCTCTGTCTTCTGCGGTGTGGGGAAATGGTGGGGAGGACAAGTCGGCCCAGTGGGCCAGTGTTTCCCCTTGGCAGTACTGCCTCCAAGGCGGGTAGTTTATGTCCACTCAGGAAGTCTCACCCAAACCCTCATCATGGGAGGATGCTACATAAGGGGGAACCAGGAGCAAACTGTGGCTCTGAATGAGCTCATTACAATCCAGTGAGGCCCTCAAGAGACCTCCCTTAATTCTTTTCCTGTGAATGTTGACCTTGTTTGATTTCCTCAGACAAAGGGCTATAAAAATGGATGGTAGAGTTTTCAGTCTAATACCCCAAACCCCGCACCAGTAATCCCATATTTGTCATACTGAAATTCAGTTCAGTTCAGCTCAGTTCAGTTGCTCAGTCGTGTCCGACTCTCTGTGACCCCATTGACTGCAGCACGCCAGGCCTTCCTGAGTTTGCTCAAACTCATGTCCATTGAGTCGGTGATGTCATCCAACCATCTCATCCTCTGAAATTAGTCATCTTCAGATTACAGAATCTGACCAAAAGGGAAGATAATCTCAGAGTGCTGGTGATATGTATATGCATAGGAAACAGGAAGAGAAAGGCCTGTTAACTCATGACCCAGAAAGGAGTTTTAGAAACTCTGGTTAGCTGGTGCTTGTAAGGGTAACCTTCTACCTTTAGAGATATGGTTTGCTTCTCTTGTAGAGGGTCTTCCCTCTCCCCTCATCTTTATTGTAAATGCCTTTTTATTTTGAATCCAAGAGGAACCATGACTTCTGTTTGGAGCAAAGCTTAGGAAAAAGGAAAGAAAGAAATTGTATCTTAATAGAGGGCTACAGAATAAAGATATGGAACTCAGAAATTTGGCATTCGGTCTGAGAGAAAAAGTTTTATTTTCTAATTCTATCCTTTTATTATAGAGAATTTTAAAATTTACAAGAGGAAAAAAAATGCTTAAAGAAATCTGATGTACCCCTGAGTCACCTTAAACAGTTAACAACTCTTGGTCAATCTTATTTCATTGGTACATCCACCCATTCTTTCTACTCCTAGATTATTTTAAGGCAATTTCAGGCATTGTATGATTTCATCTATAAATAAATATATATATATGTATATATATATATCATTATACAAGTAACCATATCATCATATCCATAAAATTTTTAATCATAATTCCTTAATGTCACGAAATACCATTATCACACCTAAAATACTAACAGAAACTACAATATTATCTATGGTGTTGGAGAAGACTCTTGAGAGTCCCTTGGACTGCAAGGAGATCCAACCAGTCCATCCTAAAGGAGATCAGCCCTTGGGGTTCATTGGAAGGACTGATGCTGAAGCTGAAAGAAACTCCAATACTTTGGCCACCTCATGCGAAGAGTTGACTCATTGGAAAAGACCCTGATGCTGGGAGGGATTGGGGGCAGGAGGAGAAGGGGACGACAGAGGATGAGATGGCTGGATGGCATCACGGAGTTGATGGGCATGAGTTTGAGTAAGCTCCAGGAGTTGGTGATGGAGAGGGAGGCCTGGCATGCTGCTATTCATGGGGTCGCAAAGAGTCGGGCATGACTGAGCGACTGAACTGAACTGACTGACTGACAATATTATCAAATATCCTTGTCAAACCTGGACTACATTAACCGTGCTTACTACTTATTGAATTTTCAATCACTGTTCACTATTTCTAATTCTTTCTTTTTTGGTGGTTCTTGCATGTTTATTTAAAGTTCATCCACTGAATCAGTTATAAATCTCTTGAATCTTTTTTAACCTCTTGGTCCCCCTCTGTCTCTTCTTTTCCACTAAAGCTTATTTGTTGAAGGATCATTAGACCTGAAGAGTTTAGCTCAGTTTGTTTATCTCCAAAATGGTCCATACAATTCAATGTATTTGTGAGATGGATGCTTGAGAAAGAGCTGTAGAAGATTTCATTTGTAAAAAATGATCAAATCTTTTCTTATGCCATTAAGAAATACCCATCCCCCAACATCAGAAATTTAAATTCATTTTTTAATGACTTGTAAAGTTCATTTTCCTCATCTGAAGACTTTAGAGCTAGGCAGAGCCTTAGGAATAATATAATCCAGTGTTTTGTAAAGTTTAAAACACTACAGTCTCTGGTAAGAAATTCACAGGAGTTTCACCCCTGGGTGTGAATCTGCAATTTAAAAAATACTCTTATGATAGAATTGCTTCATTAATGTGGATGAGAAAACAGTCTCAGAGAAGCACGTGTCCTGCAAAGATGACCCAGAGAATCTGCCTGGGAAAGAGGTCTGGCATTTCTGGCCCGCAGGCATCAGGGATCAGATAGTTCAGGATCAGCCAGGTTCTGCGTTCAGTAGATGGAGTGCCTAGTCGCTCCGTCGCATCTGACCCTCTGCAACCCTGTGCACTCTCGCCCACCAGACTCCTCTGTCCATGGGATTCTCCAGGTGAGAATCCTGGCCCGGGTTGCCATTTCCCACTCCAGGGGATCTCCCGGATTCAGGGACTGAAGCTACATATCCTGCATCTCCTGCATTGGAGACATCAGCTGGCACCCAATAGCAGTGTGACCTTAAATAAGATATTTTTCTCTTTCTTAATCTACAAAATAAGGACAATACTTTCACTTGACTCAAAGTATTAGGATGACTGCTATATAAATATATAAGTATTATATATCATTTATTGTATTAATATTATATTTAATTTATATTTATAAATAATATAAATAAATATATTTCCTGTGTTAATTTTATTAATTATTAATATTAATTTCCTGAAAACAGAAAGTTGATAGTGAAATACTCATACAAGAAAGTCCGTTGGTTTCTCCTAAGAAAACTACAAGAGAAACAGATTTCAACTGTTTGGACTGTAGCATCTTGTTCGATTTTGCAGTATATTTCCAATCAATCCATTTTTCTCCCCATACTCCCCACAATACCTTGAGAATTTTGTTACATGCTGGGGATATAAGGAAAAAAAATATCAGGATTAAGAATCAGTTTTACTGTACTGGTTGGTATGTTTGGGAAAACTGTAAAATAATTGCTTATATTTTTCTGATAGGAAAATATGTAGCATTTACGCCAAGAGTCTATTATACAGAGCAAAGTAAGTCAGAAAGAGAAAGATAGACGTCAAATATTAACACACATATACGGAAAGATGGTACTGATGAGCCTGTTTGCAGGGCAGCAGGAGACGCAGACACAGAACATAGTGTGGACACAGCGGGGGGTGGGGACACTGGGAAAAGCTGAGTAGCATTGAAACGTATACATTACCATATGTAAAATCAGATGGCCAGTGTATGACGCAGGGAGCTCAAACGCACCGCTCTGCGATGACCTAGCGGGGTGGGATGGGGAGGGAGGTGGGAAGGAGGTTCAAGACGGGGGACATACGTATACCTATGGCTGATTCATGTTGCTATATGGCAGAAACCAACACAGTATTGTAAAGCGATTATCCTCCAATTAAAAATGAATAATTTAAAATATATTTTAACATTTATCTTTTAAATTATGTATTTGCTTATTTCCTTGGCTGTGCCAAGTCTTAGTTGTGGCACGTGGAATCTTTGATCTTCAATGCGGCCTGTGGGATCTAGGTCCCTGACCAGGGGTTGAAACCAGGCCCCCTGCATCGGGAGTGCAGAGTCCTAGCCACTGGGCCCCCAGGGACATCCCCATTTACATTTCTCTAATTGGAGATCTTCGTGGGTGATCCACTCTCAATGATAAAAATGAATACGGGGCAATACAGAAAGTCAAACTATAGAGTGAGACTGTGCGATTGAACGCAGCTGTGGGAAATAAGAAATAGGCCACAGTATACAGAGGGCATTAAACATCTCCTGGTAAAATAGACCGTATTCTTGAAGTCAAATAAGGAGTAAGGGAGAATGTTTGAATTTAGACTTAACTGTTAACCTAAGAGAAGAGGGAGATGAATGCAGCACAATGGGGATACTCAAGAGGATAATTATTCTAGAAGATGCACATAGTGCATATCATGATTCCCTTGTATCTTTTGATATAGATGCCTTGTTGGAGGAACTGGAACATTCTACCTTCCAGGAAAGTGATGACTACTCCAAGGCAGCTTCTCCTCCCTTGGATCAGCATTCCAGAAAGGAGAGTAACCTTGCTGAGACTTCAAAGGTCCCTTCCATTCCTGATGATACGAATCCCTTTCCGGTAACTTTTCATTTATTGAAGTACCTTGCATTTCTGAAAAGTAATTGTATCTCAAATAAAATTATGCAAAGGGAGAATCACATATCCAAGAGAGAGAAAAAAATTCCTCCTTAAAAATTAAATCTTTTTAGAAAAATGATAAAGATGGTTGTTTTTAGAAAGAGGAGGAGCACTGAGAAAAGCATCATAGAAGAATAAATCTTTGGAAACTTTTTTTTTCTTATGAGGGCCTGGAGCTGGCAGAATATTCTGTAATTCATTTGGGATATTCTGATATTACCACCTGGGTATCAGACATGCATGTTGCAGTTTGATTGGAATGTCACTCAATAAGGCCAGAGATCACCTGGGCAAGGCCAAGTGACAGTTTACCTAAATCTTCTCAGGATGACTTTTTTTAGGGTCATCACTTTCCAGCTCTTATTTTCTGCTGAATATATTAGGAAATTCAATTATTAGTATATCCAGAGGTGAGGAAACTCTAGGGAACCAACACAAGAAAACTACACTCAGGAAAGATTAGGAATTAACCTCCCCCTCCCGAAATCCAATTTATCAACTTGTGGTTAGAATTTAAACTGTCAAGTAGAACAGATACGAATAACATTTGCTGATATATGTATTCCTTTACTATGGATAAGTCTACATACATCTACTTTATAATTAGAAGCTTACTTGGTGAGAATGGATTAGTATAGGAGGAATTAAGACGATGCTCTTCATATCTGGTGTTTCTGAACGATGATTTGTTTTCTTTTTGGCCACACTGTTCTGCATGTGGGATCTTAGTTCCCCGACCAGGGATCGAACCTGCGCGTCCCACATTGGGAGCGCAGAATCTTAACCACTGCACCACAGGGAAGTCCCTGAACTGTGGTATTCTAACTCATCCTTGTACGCTATATGAAATCACCAGTAGCACAGACCTGAAGTCTGAGCCTGTGGGAAGGCTTCCTCGTGAACTGTTCTTCCTTCCAGCTGCACTTGTACAATTTTCAGGACACATATTTCTCTTTACTAGGGAGCCACTGTCTTTGTTCCAACTCTGAGGTATGGCCATAGACTCCCAACTGATCCCCTAACCTGACCCCCTGCAATTTATTCTCCAACTTGCAGTCAGGATAATCCTGTAAAACTTGAATCAGATCACCTCACTCTTCTACTCAGAACCCGGCGATGAATTCTCATCTCATTTGTAGTAAAAAGCCACAGTCTTTACACTGACCTTATTTATGGGCTGATCATATGTCTTGGTTCACTTAAGAACCTGGGTTTTTGCTTATTTTCTTGACATCCTATTATTGACTTTACCTTTTACCCCAGATTTTCCATTTATTGTGTGAAATTTTTAAAATTAGTATCGGCTTTAAAGTAAACCAGCATGGATTATAAACCTTCACTTGGTTCTTCTGGCTTCTCTCACAGTCTCATGTGATAGTATATGAAACACGTTCGGTGAACAGAGTTCTTATTTTATTCTTGCTGTTGTTCAGTCACTCAGTTGTGTCTGACTCTTTGCACACCAGGCTTCCCTGTCCTTCACTATCTCCCGGAGCTTGCTCAAACTCATGTCCATTGAGTCGGTGATGCCATCCAACCATCTCATCTCTGTCGTCCCCTTCTCTCTCCTGGCTTCAATCTTTCCCAGCATCAGGGTCTTTGCCAGTGAGTTCACTCTTTGCATCAGGTGGCCAAGGAATTGGAGCTTTATCATCAGCATCAGTCCCTCCAATGAACACCCAGGACTGATCTCCTTTAGGATGGACTGGTTGGATCTCCTTGCAGTCCAAGGGACTCTCAAGAGTCTTCTCCAACACCACAGTTCAAAAGCATCAATTCTTCTGCACTCAGCTTTCTTTATGGTCCAACTCTCACATCTGTACATGACTATGGGAAAAACCATAACTTTGACTATATGGACCTTTATCAGCAAAATGATGCCTCTGCTTTTTAATACACTGTTTAGGTTTGTCATAGCTTTTCTTCCAAGGAGCAAGGGTCTCTTAATTTCATGGCTGAAATCACCATACACAGTGATTTTGGAGCCCAAGAAAACAAAATCTGTCACTGTTTCCACTTTTTTCCCATCTATTTGCCATGAAATGATGGGACTGGATGACATGATCTTCGTTTTTTGGATGTTCAGTTTTAATTATAGCTGGATCTAATAGATGTGATTTAGTCGCTAAGGCATGATTGACTCTTGGCGACCCCATGGACTATAGCCCGCCAGGCTCCTTTGTCCATGGGATTCTCCAGGCAAGAATACTGGAGTGGGTTGCCATCTGCTCCTCCAGGGGATCTTTGCCACCCAGGGATCGAGCCTCAGTCTCCTGCATTGTAGGTGAATTCTTTGCCAACTGAACTACGAGGGAAGTCTAGGATCTAAGAGATGACTAATGACAGTTACTAGTCTCTCATTTCCTGATGCTGTTAAGACAAAATCTAACTGGCAGCACCCTTTGAAGGGTGATTCTCAGGGTGCTGGCTGTCATGGCTAGAGCTCAAGCCCCACAGTCAGTGGCAGCTGACTCCTCTGGTTTTGAGTGGCGGCAAGAAAAATGATGAGGTATTTTTTTCCCCTGCTGGCCACTTGTCATAGCACCGCTAGTGCCCTGCTGTGGTCGTGAGATGACCTGTGAAATGCAGAGAGTCTCCTCAGGGCCAGAGAGAAATACAGGAAACTGTGGCTTAAAGTCATACACATCTTGCTGAAGAAATCGAGGCTGAGCACTGTTGCCATAGGGTACGGTGTGATCGAAATGTTCTTGTTAAAGCAGTTTTGTCACTGATTGTATATTAAAGATGTTAGTTTTATTATTTGATAATGCTTTTAAATTGTGTAATGAACACTTCCAGCAGCATTTGGCTCAAGTCCAAACTGAAACCAAAACTACTCGTTTAACTGTCTCCAAAAGTTGATGTCTGGGGCTCCTATGGTGGTCCAGTGGTTAAACGTCTGCCCCCTAAGTGGGATCTGTTTATGCTAATAGTAACTTTCGGAGTAGATCTTGATGCTTCTTTATAATATTTGTGTCTTCTGGTTTTCGAACTGACAATGATATTTCTACTCCCCCCCCATGTTGGATGGTAAATATTAACAAAGTTGAACAAATACTTTGTGCAGAATACACACCCATCATCATCTCTTCTTTTTAAAAAACCTTTATTATTTATTTACTGGTTGTGCTGGGTCTTCATTGCTGTGTGTTGGTTTTTTTCTAGTTTCGGGGAGCTTTCTCTTGTCAAGGAACGTGGGCTGTAGGGAGTGCAGGCTTCAAGGGCTAGGGCAACTGGGCTAGTATTTGTGGTGAGCAGGCTTAGCTGCCCTGAGACATGCGGGGTCTTCCCAGACCAAGGATTGAACCCATGCTCCCTGCTTGGCAGACAGGGAACCTTAACCACCGGATCACCAGGGGAGTCCCAATCATCAGCTTTCTTGTGACAATGAAGTGTGTAGTTCTGGTTTTGAAAAGTTAATACTTAAGAAGAATGTGCCCGATGACAATTCAATATGTGAAGCTGCAGGAAGTATGATTACACACCATTGTGATACACACCATCCATGCAGATCAAATGACTCTCCTCAATTAATTTTGCTCATTTTCAATTCTAAGTTTTCTTGGGCTTGTAACTAGAGTGAACTAGTGATAATTAATTGACTCCTTTTGCAAGCCACCAGATAATGTCAAATTAAATCAGTTAGAGGCCTCAATTAGAAACTTTAGTTCCAAATTGGTTTAATTGTTAAAGCTCATTCAAAGGACCACAGAAAAGTACTCAGAAATTTATTCTTCTGTCTAAAATGAAACATCTGATATTGCTTATGCCCTCAAAAATTTAGTTGAAAAGTTCAACAATGGAGACCAATGTTGTTTTGAGGGGGTGATAATACTAATACAAATTTTGATGGAGCACAGCCTAATGGTAAAATCAATGTTTGTTTGTTTGTTTTTTTCATACTTAAAAGCCTGTGGAGCAGATAGGTAGTTGGAACCAGTCGTGATGTTCACAAAATTCATGACTGCATCCGAATAAGCTTCGGCATTCTACCAATCAGAATAGAAACTGCGGTTGTTAAAATTTAAAGTCTTTATATATTTACACACAATCAGCAGAGAAGGAAACGGCAACCCAGTATTCTTGCCTTAGAAATCCCAAGGACAGAAGAGCCTAGGGAGCTACAGTCCGTGGGGTCACAAAGAGTCAGACATGCCTGAGCGACTTACACGTGCACACACACACAATCAGGGTGTGTGTGTGTGTGTGTGTGTGTGTGTGTGTATAGCTCAACTCAAAAACTTCTGTGACAGAAGCTGTTGTTGAATCTAAAAATATATATTAGCATGGCTGTATATATTTTCTCTATTCATTGCCTGCCATCAACTGGGTTTTAAAGAAATGTCTGAGCCTTTGAAAAGTCGCTTTGTAAAACAACCTCAGTGTAGGCCAGGTTATGTGCAAAATCAGTTGGAAATATTTAATCATATTATTTAATGAATGTAGCATGAAAATTCAGCTTTTGAAGTTTTTTAACAAGTTGCAATTATGTGCAACAAAGTTTGCAAAAAGGAAGTAGCTCAGATTTCTCCTTAAAAAACCTGGGAGGAAATGAACCAATCAATAGATGAGTGCTCAGATATTTAATGACCTCACTGGAAAATCGTGTTTTGGAAACATCTGAACTTTGATGGGCCTCCTGATTTTACTTGAATAAATTTATATTCCCATCAGAATGGGATGAAATTATGAAGGCCTATGATTTTGCAGTATCTACATGTGATGAAATGTTAGAAGGCATCATTTAAGAGCTCTGTCTTGTAAAAATACCAAAGAAAGTTGCACCGAATGGAGGCAGAAATACTGCACGTGTGAAAAATTGAAGCTAAAATATTTACACATTTTAACATAAAAAATACGATTGAGAATATCTTCCATTCAGCACAATCTGCTCCAAACTTAGAGGTTCATCAGCATCTAGACAGGGAGTATCTTCTCAATTAAAATTATTATGGGCTATGGAGAAACAGTGTCAACAATTTCAGATATATTAACCATAAAACACAGCTTCACAGAAGACTGCAATTTAATAAAAAGTGTAAAAATTGATAAGATCATGTTGAAAAAAGGCATTTTTTTCAGAAAAATTTTAGCATTACCATGTTAAAGACAACAATGGCTAAGTAGCCAATTAAGATATGCATATATATATATCAAGAATATTTAGTTCTGCCATTTTAAAATGCTCAAGTAATCAATATAAAAAGTTTAAAAAATTTTTTGCTTTCATGTTCATAGCTATATGTCATTTTGAAATGTTCTAGAAATTTTTATTTTGAGTAGAATTAGTTGTTAGGTCCACCAATATGATAAAATAAAAATATTGGCCGATAAATACACATTTAAAAAATTAAGGTAATGTTAGTTATTTTTAGTACTCTCTTTCACTCCCAAAGGCTTCCCCTGTGGCTCAGCTGGTAAAGAATCTGCCTGCAATGTGGGAAACCTGGGTTTGATCCCTGGGTTGGGAAGATCCCCTGGAGATGGGAACGGCTACCCACTCCAGTATTCTGGCCTGGAGAATCCCATGGGGTGTATAGTCCATGGGGTCACAAAGAGTCAGACACGACTGAGCGACTTGCACCTCACGTCATTCTCAAAGGTGTCCCAGTCTGAATAATGAGTTATGTGGTCACCGTCCTGCATGAACTGGGCCCTGACTCTTTGAATAATGAGTTATGTGGTCACCGTCCTGCATGAATTGGGCCCTAACTCTATTCTTGTCTCACTGGTGCTGTCTACTGAGGTCACGCTGGTCTCTGTTTGTTCCATAGATGCTCCAAGAAGCTCTCTATCTGGACCGAATTATGCTTGATATCTGCACACTGTCCTCACTCCCTTTAGGTCCTTGCCCAAGTGCTCCTTCCTCAACCAATATATTGATGAATGTCATCCCTCCCCCATCTCTTATCTCCTTGGTTGCTGTTTAGTCTCTAAGGAGTGACTGACTCTTTTGCAACCCCATGGACTATAGCCCCCACCAGGCTCCTCTGTCCATGGGATTCTCCAGGCAAGAATACTGGAGTGGGTTGCCATTTCCTTCTCCAGGGTAGCTTCCTGACCCAGGGATCAAACCTGCATGCCCTGCATCAGCAGCTGATTCTTTAGCAGTGAACCACCAGGAAAGCCCCTTTCTTATCTCCTACCCATCATTAATGTTTATTATTTTTTTACATATTAGTTTGTTTATTATCTGTCTCTCACCACCATGATGTAAGGCTCAGGAACAATTTCTATTCTTTTGTTTCATTTTTTGGCTCCTGCATCCCCTAGCCCTCACAACTGACAGGCACTCAATAAATATTTGCTCATGAAATAAACTATGGGTCAGCTACCCTTTACAGTCACTGCTTATCTCTTCTGGTGTGTTAAATTGAACCGCATTATACTCTTCCCATCCTGTCTAGTTCGAGGTGCTTCGCCGAGACTCATGTTGTTTTGTGGTTCTTTTCTGAGAATGGCGCCATCTCTGTGTCAGTGCTTTGAGGGCAGTGGGGGGGGGTGTCCCTGTATTTGATCACAAGCCAGCAACTGTGCTAAGCATTTGGCCTTTCTCTATGGGATGACTGCTGCTCCTCTGCCTTGAGAAAGATTTGACATATGCTAGTGATCAGGCCCCTTTAGAAGCTCCAAACAAACATCTTCAAACTCTGGCTGTGGGTAAGTACTAGTGTTCTTGTTAAATTTATTTTGTATTCAAAAATTTTATTGAAGTACAGTTGATCTGCAATGTTGTGTTAACCCCTGATGTACAGCAAAGGGATTCAGTTATCATATATACACATGAATATATATATATATGTGTATATATATATTATCTATTTCTTTTTCATATTGTTTTCCATTATGGTTTTTCACAGGATATTGAATATAGCTCCCTGTACTTTACAGTAGGACTTTGTTGTTTATCAAACATTCAAATAGTGAGAAATTCATTCTTTATTCTTCTCTGTCACTTGTGTGTCTTAGGTGCAGCTTGTGTATACTACCGAGATCCAGGAACCCAATGTCTACAGGTATCTTTTTTCAATTAAATATTTAAACATGAGGGTTACTAGAGAATTGTTACCAACCTCTGTCTGGCCCATCATTTGCTTTGCAAGCGTTTGTTACTAGCATCCCTATTTCCCTGCCCCCTCCATGGTCTGTGAGCAGTGGTGGAGTTCCGCCAGCTGCCATGCGGCAGTCTCTCAGGGAGCCTGGCTTCTAGACGGGTCATCTAGTCACCCGGGCGGGCAGGCGCTGCTGTTTCCTTTACCTCCTGAAAATATGTGAACAGTCCCAGTCACCACAGGCGCTTCGGCCCAGCTATTCCAGATACCGAGCTTCAGTTCACAAAAGAGACAACACCTAAAGAAACGTCAGCAAGATGCTGACAAAATCTGAGCTAGGACCAGGGCTGAACTAAGACAGTGGGTCTCCATGGCAGATTGATGAATACATGTTGTTTTCGTTCAGTCGCTAAGTCGTGTCCGACTCTGCAACCCCATGGACGGCAGCACGCCAGGCTCCTCTGTCCTTTACTGTCTCCCGGAGTTTGCTCAAATTCATGTCCATGAGTCGGCGATGCTGTCTAACCATCTCATCCTCTGTCACCCCCTTCTCCTTTTGCCTTCAGTCTTTCCCAGCATCAGGGTCTTTTCCAGTGATCCGGCTCCTCGCATCAGGTGGCCAAAGCACTGGAGCTTCAGCTTCAGCAGTAATCCTTCCAATGAATATTCAGGGTTACTCAACATTTATTTAGCGGTGGAGGGATTTCCTTTTAATAAGAGTTACACATTGCTGCAGATTCTACTTTACTAAATGACCTCTTCTGGCCGAGGGAGAGTTTGACGATCTAAAAAAGTTAAAGGGCCACTGTTTCTGTTCTCTCTTCAGTTATGGCTTGAAATTAAAAAAAAAATCAGCATTCTGGGAAACAAATCAAAGGGTTTAAAATGTAGATGCTAAAACTTCACGCTTGGTGAGGAGAAACTGCACATCTTAACTTGCTTTCAGAATTGCAACCAGTAGCGCACACGTGGCACCAAAATACAAGAAGGGCCTGTGCTCTCTTTTGAAGCCTTGGCATGACTTCCCGCCTGCGGGGCTTTCTGTTCCGGTGAGAGTGGAGGCAGCTTACCAATAGGTATGGCCAGCTTGCTCCAGTCCTGGGAAGCTGCCTGCTGGGCGCGCCTCTAGGCCTTGCATCTCTCTCCCTTGTAAAAAGAAAACAAAGCAAAACAACAACAGCAACACAGTAAGTAAGTGGTACACTGTAGCTTCTCAGTTAATCTTTAATTCTTGTTTATATTGAGGAAACCCAGACTTGAATGGAAACGCTAGTAAACACAGGGACGCGCACCATGAAACCCAGCCCAGCCAGCAACCACTTGGCCGCGTCTGGCCTCGGGACCGCTGATGGAGCGCGTGCTAACTTCCGGGCGCCTTTCCCCCGGAGTGCAGACCCCGTCAGACCCCGTCTCCCTCTTCTGTGACCCAGGAGACCTGGCCGCTGCGGGCTGGGTTTTACCCGCTCCAGCGGCCGTAGGGTCGGTCGGGTCCCACCGGCTGCAGGCGACGGAAGGCGCTGTGGGGAGACGGGCCGGGCGGGTGGGGGTGCTGGGGGGAGGGCTGCAAGGCCAGGATGTCAGGGCGTGTGCTCGCCCGGTCTCTGTCTCCGCCGCGTCTCTGACAGCAGTTGTATGTCCTTTTATGGCTTCTGATTCCCTCCTCTGCCTGGAAACCTGGGCTCCTGGGGTCTGGTGCCTTTGACCTAACGGCTTCTTGCTGTGCCTGACCTCTGGGATCCCTCACCGCTTGCTGTTTGCTTCTGAGCTCTCCATCACCTGTGGCATCAAATTGCTGGATGAAATTCCTCCTGCTTTCTCTCAGTCTTTGTCTTTTCCGGAGCAGATCTCGATCGATACAAATGCCATTACTGAACGATACCCAGCGTGTCGATCTGTGTAGGAGAGTGATATGAAATCCAGGTGGCCTAGTCAATATGTAATGGGCTGATCCAAACCCTAGGCTGATGTAATTCAAAGCCCGCAAGGCTTCCATGTACAGATTCAGCATGAGACACAGAAGCAAGTTTCCTGCATGCTGTTTCCACCGTTCCCTTTGACTTGCTTAAATTAACCAAACATTACTTTCAACCTTGAAAGTATGTTCAATACCAGTTGTGGATATAACAATATGATGATTTGGGGTATCTTTTATATCACCCAAAATAATTTTAGTTAAGAATAGGGAGGGACACTTCATAAACATATTGCAGAGGAATAAATTGGGGAAAAAATAAAGCCCTTCACTTGAGAAGTCTTGAACTCAACTTCTATATTTGTATTTTTTTAATGGTTTATCATAGGATTTTCTTTTTCAGTTGGAGGATAGTCGCTTTACAAAGTTGTGTTAGTTTCTGCTGAGCAACCACGTGAGTCAGCTCTAAGTGTACATACGTCTCCTCCCTCTCGGTCATCACAGAGCTCCGAGGTGAGCTCCCTCTGCCATATAGCAAACCTGGTACCGTGTACCCCTGGGCCATCCTGACACCCCTGTTTGTATTATTAAGACCTCTGCATAATGAAGTTGTGACTGACGGCATGCCTAAGTACGTTTATCAGGTGGTGCTCATGGTAAAGAACCCGCCTGCCAGCGCAGGCGACTAAGAGACACAGGTGTGATCCCTGATTCGGGAAGGTCCCCTGGAGAAGGGCCTACAACCCACTGCAGGATTCGTGCCTGGAGAATCCCAGGAACAGAGGAGCCTGGGAGTGGGGTGGGGGGCGGGGGGCGGTGCGCCTACAGTCCATGGGATCACAGTCTCAGACACGACTGAAGCGACTTGGCATGCACACATCATCTTTAATAAGAGATCGAGGGACAAATCAAAGGAGCTCTGATTGGAGGGTTTCTCTCTTTTCAGGAGCATGTCCTGAAGTGAAGGCATCATCGACACTTCAAGAGGTCTCTCGTTTCTTATTTAGAAGTTGATACTGTTGACTCAGTTGCTCTTAGGGCATTATGACAACGATCTCTCTACACTGCACTAGGCGTCTGGTTAGCAACTAGTCAGAGGGACTCCCCTGGCAGTCAGCTGTTGAGGGTTTGCACTCCGAGCGCAGGGGGCACGGGGCTGATCCCTGGTTGGAGGACTAGGATTCTGCATGCTACATAGCACAGCCAAAAAAAAAAAAAAAAAACGGGGGGTAACAAACCAGTGAGAGGCCTTTCAGTGAGAACAAGGATGCCCATCTGTGAGATGAACAGGTTTTTGTATTATACAGGGCCGCATGAGAAGCTGCATTTGTTCTACACTGGGACACAGGAGAGAGGTGTTCAGTCCTGCCACCTATTGTATTCCTAAGACTTGTGCCTGTGGCAGAAATTCCCGAGGGATTAAGACTGAAAAGAGTTGTGAGAGAGAGCTCCTTTGCACTTTGTTGGAAACCTCCAAGGACTAAATCTGTTACTTGCATACCTGGCCATTTTTGTTCTTCCATTAACTACCCGCCTCCAAAAGAAAAAACCAAACGCAAACTTGTGTCTGGTAAGAAGCCATATTCCACCTAAAGGGCAAAGTCTTTTAAGAGGGGAAAAGGTCCACTTTCCTCCTACATTTTCCTTGTTATTAGATATTCAAACGTACGGGAGCCAGTAGGAGGACGTGTTGTATCCAAGAGAGGGTCATTTTTTGTTAAGAGAGGAAGATATCCATCTTTCTTCTACTTTCTCCCTAGTTGATAAGTATATAAAATAAGTAAAACAGTAAGACTTCGTTGTCATTTATGAAAACACATTTAGTGAATGATTTAGAATATTTGACTTGATTTATGGCTTTCCGTGTGTTTCTCTCTCTCCCTCTCTCATACACACACACATAGTTTGGTGGGTTGTTAGCTAAGCTTCTTGATTAATTTGATGACAAACACTTCTCCAGATTCCGTTACTTGTATAACCCAGTAATTCCACTTCTCAGAATATACTTTGTGGAAGTGAAGGTATCACACATTATTTAGCAGTGTTGACTGCAACAGTGAAAATCAGAAACAATCTAGGTGTCTAACAATAAATGATTGGTTTAATAGGTTATAGCACATTATGCATTTGAAAACTGTATAGCCTTTATACATCATTTTAAAAGATAATTTAGTGATAGAGAACACAAGCTTAGCAGTCTGCAGGCCCAAACTATGTCATTTGCCTTTTGTAGAGGGTAGAGCAAAGATGTTAACGTCCCTAGGCCCCAGTTTCTTCACCTGGGGGTAGTACCACTTACCTCTTATTGTTTTTACGAGGATTTAAAGAGAACCCATGTAAAACCCTTTACAGAGGGCCTAGTGCTATTTACACACTCAATAATTGTTAACTATTACGGTTGCAAAGGATAGATGAGGATGTGAATTAGGGTATGGAAAAATGTTAACTTTAAAACATGAAGAAAACCAGTACTATTCAAATTTCCTAAAATCATACATAATCATAGAAGAGTGTAAAAACACAAGCCATCATGTCTAGAGTATTCAGTGCCTCTCAAAAGGAAGAGAATATGTGCTTTAATTTTTTTCTTTGTATTCCTCTGCAGCTTTAAAATTTTCTACATTTAACATTACTCATTTTATATTGAACATAATTTTTAATAGGAATCGCAGCATTATGACTATATTAATGTAGTATACTGAAAGTTATTTAATGGAATCATAGTGTGCATGCATCTAAGATACACATGCACATGAGACTTGCACTGTTGATGCCCAGCCTGCCCCTCCTGCCGTCTCCTGTTTCTATCATTGTCTCTTTCCTAGTATAGCTGACCTTTGTTTTGAAAATATAACTTCATACACACAGTTATTTTGTAAACTCACGTAGGTAAAAAGTCAAAGAGGTATCTTCTGCTTACTATGGCATATAAACCTAAAACTGCTCTGAAAAACAGTCCTTTGAAAAAGTCAAAGCAAAGAATTCCCTGGCTGGCCAGTGGTTACGACTCAGTGCTTTCCCTGACGGGCCCAGGTTCAATCCCTGGTTGGAGAACTAAGATTCCACCAGGCTCGCAGCACAGCCAAACACAAACCAAAAAAAAAGTCTGACAAATCGGAATTACCCAGGGTAAAATGTGAGACCACCTCCAGCAGAGTCTGTCCTCCCACCCCCTGATGACCAGCTCGACAGGTCTGTCTTCTTACAGGTCTCTGTGCGTGCAGCGTCATACTTAGGTATCTGTGTTTCTAAAATGATGTAAATGGAAGGATATTTTTCATATTGTTCTGGGCCTTGTTTTTTTTTAAGTTAGCAGTATAAATTAGAAGTCTTCCTTAGTTCATATAAATCTGTCAACATTTTTTTTTTTTTAGCAGCCACAGGGTATTTTATAGTTCGAGTGGACCATCATTTATTTGAGTATATGTCCATTTAGATTTAATTTGCTCATAAAACTACTGCTTTTGTGTTTCAAGGATTGTCTTTGTGCATATATCTTTATAGATATGTCCAATTTTTCTGTAAGATAGAGTCTTGGAAGTAAAATTGCTGAATTGGTCTAGTTTTAGTCATATCTAAAGGGTTAGTGGGTCTAACCAGGTGGCACAGTGGGAAAAGAACCCACCTGCCAATGCAGGAGACTTAAGAGATGCCGGTTCAATCCCTGGGTCGGGAAGGTCCCCTGGAGAAAGGCGTGGCAACCCACTCCAGTATTCTCACCTGGAGAATCCCAAAGACAGAGGAGCCTGGTGGGCTACAGTCCATGGGGTCTCAAAGAGTCGGAGATGACTGAAGCGACTTAGCATGCATGCAAAGGATTAATAGTTCAAACTGCATTTTCTGGTATTTTATGCACGGTCTAACGCTTATTTGAGTTTTGATGTGTTGGTATGCTTTTTTTCTTTCCTCCTTACAGTGAGATCCAAGAGCCGAAGGCATCACCACCAGCTTCTAAAACCTCGGCCGCCGCACAGCTGGATGAGCTGATGGCCCATCTGTGTGAAATGCAGCGTCAGGTGAGCACGCTCTGTGACACAGCCTGCAGGGCTCGTCTCTGTGGACCCCCGCCCTGCCCTCCCACTTTAGAAACCCTCCGAAGTCCTTACGGATTCTGCCGGGCTCAGTTTAACTCAGTGGATGGGCCCACTGAAGTACCGCTGATTTATAGCGTGTTGTATCTGTTTCCAGTGTTCAGCAGAACCATTCAGTTCTGTATCTCCATCTATATCTCTATCTGACTTTTTTCTGTTAGAGGTTATTACGAAACATTGAGCACGGTTCCCTGTGGTGCACGGCAGCGGGTCCTTGTTGGTGGTCTGTTTTATATAATGTGCCCATGGTGATCCCAAAGTCCCGATTTATCCCTCCCGCCCTTTACCCCCATGTGTGCTGAGCCGCTCCAGTCGGGTCCGACTCTGCGACCCCATGGACCGTGGCCCGCCAGCCTCCTCTGTCCACGGGATTCTCCAGGCCAGAATACTGGAGTGGTTGTCATTTCCTCCTCCAGGGATCTTCCCGACCCAGGGATGAACGCTCACCTCTTACATTTCCTGCCTTGGCAGGTGGTTCTTTGTCCTCAGCGGCACCTGGGAGGCCTTTTACCCCGTTGGAAACCATACTTTTTTTTTTTTTTTTAGTCTATGGATCTATTTCTGTTTTGTATATAAGTGCATTTGTGTTGGGTTTTTTTTAAGATGTCTTATCTGGACATAAAAGACTGCGATGCAGGTTCTGATCTCAAGGGCCTTGGAGTGTGCTTGATAAAATGAGACATAATACTAGGTGGCATTTACTAGACTAAAAGATAGACTGTTTGCCACTAAAACTGCATAAAGTGTGGAAGGGCTGTTAAAGAGACCTCCCTGAGTGAGGTGGAGGAGACCCACGGCAAGCTGGAGCAGAGCAAGGGAGAGCAAGCGTGGCTTTGAAAGGAAGGATGAGTCCTAAGCTCTTACTGAGAGAAAATCCACCCCTCCTGGTCTAGTCTCTGGGCTTCCCTGGTGGCTTAGAGGGAAAGAATCCACCTGCAGTGCAGGAGACCCGGTTTGATCCCTGGGTCGGGAAGATCCCCTGGAGAAGGAAATGGCAACCCACTCCAGCATTCTTGCCGGGAGAATCCCGTGGACAGAGGAGCCTGGCGGGCTACAGTCCATGAGGTCGCAAGAGTCGGACACGACTGAGCAACTAAACCACCACCACCATAGTGGATCAAAGTGTGATAACTTCAGGGGTACAGCAAAGTGGTTCAGCTATGTATATACACACGTATCCTTTTCCAAGTCTTTTCCCATTTAGGTTATTACAGAATATTGAGCTAGAATTCTTAAGGTAGAGAATCCAAACATTCTGAATTGGTTGGGGTATTTCATATGCACACGTGAAGTGACTATAAAGTAATTTCAAGGCGGTGCATAAAACTGTGTGTGATTGAAGGAATCTTATCTCTGTGGCTCACCTTTGGCTTTCCAGCGCTGTTTCGGATATATTATATATAACCACATTATTAGAGACACAATGAATAAATATCAGAAACAAGTTTTCTTTTTAATATTTACAGTAAAGCTGAGTGCATTCCTCATTGCATTGTATATCTGAAAAGTTGTTGTTTAGTTGCTAAATCGTGCCAACTATTTTACAACCCCATGGACTGTAGCCCACCAGGAGCCTTTGTCCTTGGGGTTTCCCAGTCAAGAGTACTGGAGTGGGTTGCCATTTCCTCCTCCAGGGGATCTTCCCGACTCCAGAATGGAACCTGCATCTCCTGCAGCGGCAGGTGGATTCTCTACCACTGAGCCACCAGGGAAGCCCATGTCTGAAAATACTAGGAAAAAAAAAATCTACATTAGCAGTTTTAATTGTGTGATGTTTTAAAATTAATTTAGCGTGTGTCTTAGTTTATTTACATTTAAAAATTTATGTTTATTTTTTGAAATAGCCATACCTTTACACTATACAAACATCCAGAGTATAACAGTATACAGTGAAGCGTTCCCAGCCATCCACTTCTGCCCCCTGGAGGTACTCAATATTTTCTGTTTTCCACATAATCCTTTCAGAAACATTCTGATATATACCAGCAAATAGATTTAATTGTATATATAGACACAGATACATTGCTGCATTTTTACTGAGTTACTTTCAGGCCGTTTTGATGTTAGCCTTTAGAACACTAATCTCTTGAGCGTTAACTAACATTATATAATAGGAGAGGAAGGAAATGTGTCAAATGGTAAGTTTCTTGAAGGGAAATGAGCATTTTGGATTAGTGAGATAGTGGGAAGTTGTCCCAGGCAGAGGCCTGAAGGCTGATGGTAACAGATCACTTTCGGGAGACAGCCAGGAGCCTGGCTGGCTTTAAACAATGGGGGCTTTTTACTGAGTAATCAGAGATGAAACCGGGAAGGTAAAGTGAGGGCAGTGGACGGGAGACGCAGTGTCCGTCTGTTGCTGCAACTTCAGTGCCGGAGGCCATGGAGAAGCGCTGCAGTCCTCTGGTCCGAAGTCCCGGTAGTCTGGAAACTGGGAGTTGAGAGAGACGAGTTGGGCAACTGTTAATTTGAAGTTTTCCCTTTGAATGTTTTATCACAGCAGCACTGGAGTTTCTCTTTAATAAATCCAACCGGTCACCAAGTTTTATCTGACCACCTCTCACCTCCTTCTCCACCATCACTGGCCCAAGGCATTTCTGATCCGAGCTGTGTTGAAAGTCTCCTGCCTAACGAGCGCCTCTGAGTCCACTCTTGCTTTGTCCGCACCTGATTCCTCACTCAGCTACCCCAGGGACCTTGTGAATCAGATCCTCTCCCTCTCATGCTTGAAGTGCGCTAATGGTTCCATCACCTTCAGAATAAAACCGGAGCTTTATTAAATAATAACAATTATTTATTTTCATTAAATAGTAAAAGCGAAGCTTTATCCTGCGGGCTCTGCGTGATCATGGCCTCTTTTTCCATTGTTTTATCCTGCCTCACTCATCCTCACTCCCGGTGTTCCAGCCCTCCTGACCTCTTTTTACTTTTTATGTGTCAGACTGTCTCACTCCTCTGGGCCGTCCTTCCCTCTAGAATGCTTTCCTCACAATTATCGATATTTCTGTGTCTCAGTACATCACTCAAATATCTGCTCAAGTACCAGCTTCTTAGCCTTCTCCGATCGCCCTCATCTGAATCCCATGCTCTGTCTTTTGCCTCAATATATGATTCATATCTCTAACCTGACATCATATCATCTATTATTTCTTTAATTGCTTACTGTCTGTTACTCAGAGAAAATAAATTCCATGAGGGCAGACACTTGGTTAGTCTTGAGAATTGCTCTGCACCATGAGCCTAGAGCAGTGAGTGGCACAAACCAGCTGCCCAAAAAACACTGCAACATAAATGAATAAAAAGAAGATGAATTGCTGACCTGCAGTCATCATAAGAGATAAGGTATCAGCTTCCGAGGTCCAACTTCCTACTTCCAGAAGAGATTTGCAAACAGGAAGACTAGTCAGATTTCATTCAGCCTGAGGAACTTAGAATGAAAGGGAGATGAAAGCATTTTTTTTTTTTTTGGTGTTGCAATGTTAGATTTTTCCAGCGCCTTGGAGGAAGTTCAGGGAAAGACTAAGACATAGTGCAGAAGATGCTAATGAGGATGACTCTCTTTACGGTTCTCTTCTTGGTACAGGTTACAGTGAAAGCAGATGCCAGCAAGAAACCCGTATCTGACAAGCAGGATGACAAGGCCTCCCTGGACTCCATGCTGGGGGGCTTGGAGCAGGACTTGCAGAACTTGGGAATTGCCACAGTGCTCAAGGGCCACTGTGCCTCCTGCAAGAAACCGATCGCTGGAAAGGTGGGATGGGCCAGGACATTGATCCTACAGCCTTCCGTGTCTCTGTGTCGGTCTCCATCCTCCAAGGACTCTCTTTCTTCTCATAATCTAAGACAGTTTAGTAATACCGATCCTTTACAGTGCTCCAGGCGTGGACTCAGCACCGTACAAGCCTTCTTTTATTTAGTGGCTGCATTATCCCTTCAGTCCTGCATTGGGAAGATCCCCTGGAGACGGGCATGGCAACCCACTCCAGTATTCTTGCCTGGAGAATCCCCATGAACAGAGGAACCTGGTGGGCCACAGTCCATGGGGTCGCAAAGAGTCAGGCACGACTGAGCGACTGAGTGTACACACACAGACACACAGCCCTTCAGTGGTCACAAGCTCTTTGTGAAGTGAGGAAACTGAGGGCCCAGGGTCATTAACTGACACAGCCAAGGTCTAGTAAGAGCTCAATGTAAGATCCAAATCCAGGAGATTCTGGCTTGAGAGTTTGAGCTCGTAACCGTTTTCCTCTACTACCTTATGGAGAATAACTTTCCCTCTGCTCCCTCGGTTCAAATCTTCCCAGTGCAAGTGACTGATTATGACTTTCAGCCACTCCCAGCATCATAGCATGACCACAGATTCCTGCTTGGGCACCATCCTTCATCCAAGGCATTATAAAGGGCATTGAGACCTGACTTTCCACAGGGTGTGAGATGAGGTGTCCAGATCAGAGGAATAAAAACTGCCATTGGTCTTCTCCTGTTCCCGGGATCCCTTCCAGGCCAAGCGTGTCATCCGTCACCACTACCTCTATTTCGTGTCTGTAATTTTCTGGGGCAGCATAGCGGAATGAGCGTTTATTGAGTCGGGACAGTGGACTGCATGCCATTACCCGTGAATTACGGAGCACAGGTGGGGAAGGGAATGGCAGCCCACTCCAGTCCTCTTGCCTGGAGAATCCCAGGGACAGAGGAGGCTGGTGGGCTGCAGTCCATGGGGTCGCAAAGAGTCGGGCACGACCGAGCGACGTACCCAGGGACCACAGGCCGCGTGAGTGCGCCCGAGGCCTTGGCCTCAGTGCGGCGTAACTGCAGGGGTGTGGTTTCCGTGGGTGCTGTTGGAAGGGCACGCCCCAGAGCCGCGCACGCTGCGGTCCCCAGGTGCCGGGCGCCCACGCCAGGCTTGCTTCACGCTGCAGGTGATCCACGCGCTGGGGCAAGCCTGGCACCCCGAGCACTTCGTGTGCGCCCACTGCAAGGGGGAGATCGGCCCCAGCCCCTTCTTCGAGCGGAGCGGCCTGGCCTACTGCGCCGAGGACTACCACCGCCTCTTCTCCCCGCGCTGCGCCTACTGCGCCGCCCCCATCCTGGACGTGAGTGAGCCCCCGGCCCCCGCCTTCGCGCAGCTTTTGTTTCGCAGCTCCGCAGCCGCCTAATCGCGCTCCCCGTTGCTTTTCCAGAAAGTGCTGACGGCCATGAACCAAACCTGGCACCCGGAGCACTTCTTCTGCGCTCACTGTGGAGAGGTGTTCGGTGAAGAAGGTAAGGCCCGGTGGCTACAAGAGCACCAGCAGGGCTTTTCGCTGATCTTCTCTGCTGGTCCTGCTTCCTCCCTCGACCACCCAGGTGCCCTTTTCGGTACCAAGCGCCATCCCTTCCTACCTGATCTGACATGGATGCCTTTTGCTTAAATGAAAATTTTAAATCAAAGTCATACAAATGCATAGTTTAAAATGCAAATACTACGCCAAGAGCAATAGTAAAAAAGAACACTTCCTTGCTTTCCCTTTTTCCACCCCCAAGTCCAGTTCTCCTCTCTAAACATTTTAGCTTCTTCTGTTATTTACTTGTGGGGCTTCCCAGGTGGCGCTAGTGGTAAAGAACCTGCCTGCAGGTTGCATCCCTGGGTCGCGAAGATCCCCTGCAGGAGGGCATGGCACCCCACTCCAGGATTCTTGCCTGGAGAATCCCATGGACAGGGGAGCCCGGCGAGGCTACAGTCCACGGGGTCGCAAAGAGTCGGACACGACTGAGCGATGAAGCACAGCACAGCACATTATTTACTAGTATATTTTAAATAGTATATTCCTCTATATTGATTTTTTGTACAATTTTAGCCATTACACGTTAACGTTCTACCAAGAGAGATAAGGATTTAGAAATGTTATTACTCCTCCACCCACCCCCAACATAATTCCCCTCCCCTATTCTCTCAGTTATAGTTAGGTCGTAATTATATAAGTCAGATGAGTATTCGATGTGTACATGTTGACAGTCACATAAATATTGCTCACAATTGAGTCATGTAACAAACTGTGATATAGTACAGTGTGGATTTGGGGGTTTGTCTGTCTGGTTCAAATCTGGGCTGTGGTATTTATTAGCCATGTGATGTTTAAGTTATTTGACCTTCTTTGGAGCTCACTTCCCTCATGAGTAAAATGGACCTAATAATAATGCTTACTTTAGGACTTCCCTCGTGGTCCAGTGGTTAAGATTCTATGCTTCCAATGCAGGGGGTGTGGGTTCGATCCCGGTTGGGAATCTAAGCTCTCACATACCATGTGGCACGACCAAAAAGATTTTTTTTTAAAGTAAGAAAAAATGATGTTTACTGTATAGGGTCATTATGAGGATTTTAAGAGGCAGTATCAACGTAGTGTTTGCAGTGGTGCCTGGCACGTGAAGACTGGTAATGAAGATGACGATCATTGCCTTGGTGTCCTTTTCATACACATGTGTTATTTACTGAAATTAACATCTGGCTCCCTTTTCCATCCGCTTAATTCTTATTGTAATTATCACTGATTTATCTGACAGAGCTGCTAAATCCTTCTCAAAATGGTCATCCACTTCTGGTAATACGTTAGTTCCATTTGTTTTATGTTTTTTTTTTTTCTTGGAGACATCTGTCCAGGAGACTTTCATCCTTCTGCTCCAGCCTGCCTGCTAAGAAATAATACTTTATCTCAGGAATCCCTTGTACTAAATCCCTTCCTCCGTCTTTGAATATGTATTACTGCTTTTATTTTGGTGGAGCACAGCCTCCAGTAGCTCCTGGTAAAAGCTTTGAAACCTTGAGCATCTGAAAATATCTTGTCTCCCTGAAGTGTCCTGGACGTGGAATTCTAGGTCGAAGCTACTTCCCTTATCACTCTGAAGACATTTTGCCACTGTCCTCTAGCCTCCATGGCTGAAAGTTTCTTTTATTCAGATTTTGTTCTTCTTCCTGACACTTTCTACGTGACCTGTTTTGCCCTTGTTGCAGGCTGCTTGCTCCCTTCTGTTTTCTGCGTTGTCTTGATTTTTTTTTTCCTGACTTCTTTTTATGTTTGTTTTGAACCAATATGACTCATATATGAAAGCAGAATGCTTCTTTTTCTTTTCCTGTGCTGCTTTTTCTTTTCCTGTCCTTTTAGAATTAATTCACGGGGAAAGTTTTCTTCTAAATAAAAATTTGAGGCAGTCTTATGTCTTTTTTGATTATTCTTAATGAACTACTCTAAATAGAAAATCAATTTAAGACACAAAACACAAATCCAAGTCCTTAGGTAATTCGTTCTGTGTGATAACTAAAGCCTCCAACTTATTTAAAGTGACAGCTACTCTCTCCCCTGGTGGGTCCTTTAAGCTGCAGGAGGCCGGGGAAGTGGGCTAAGGCCGGTGATTGGTCCTTTCCTGCTTTTATTCTCACACCCATTGCTAATCTCCACAGCTGACCCCTCCAGGGTTGAATCAGGGGTGGACGGGTTTAGCCTGGAGGGCAGAAAAGTTCTAAGTTGTCTCATTTGCTTTGACCTCTCTGGGCTTGGCATATAATTAACTCCGACTTTCTTGTTGTTGTGGAGTCGCTAAGTCGTGTCCGACTCTTTTGCGATCCTATGGACTGTAGCCCACCAGGCTCCTCTGTCCATGGGGTTTTCCAGGCTAGAATACTGGAGTGGGTTGCCATTTCCTTCTCCAGGGGATCTTCCAGACCCAGGGATTGAACCCGGGGCTCCTGCGTTTCAGGGAGATGCTTTACCGTCTGAGCCGCCGGGGAAGCTGGCTCGAATGACTGCACTTAATTTCAGGTGCCTCGCCCCATTCAGCGGCTGTAGGCCCTTTAACCAGACTCTCAGCTGTGGGTGTTTTCCGGGGATGAGTCAGAGAGCACCAACTGTAGCCCACGCCTGGCGGGCACCCAGCTCTCGGAGTGGTTCCATTGCAGCCCCTCTCTTGACTTGAGGTTCCCCGGGACTGCACCTCACGCCTCTTGGCGATGGTGGGGCACGCACAGCACAGCTTTCTCAGAGAAACCCCTGTCTCAGCTTCCCTTTCTCTTTGCTGCTCTTCAGTCGCTCAGTCCTGTCCACTCTCTGGGGCCCCATGGACCGCAGCACGCCAGGCCTCGCTGTCCTTCACCATCTCCCAGAATTTGCTCAAACTCGTGTCCATCCGGGTTGGTGATGCCCTCCAGCCATCTCATCATCCATCTCCCCTTCTCCTCCTGCCCTCAATCTTTCCCATCAGGGAAAAGATCCTTTCTCTTTACCTGTTTTATATCCTTGGTGTAAGTGAAGAGTCCAAGGTTTGTGCAGATTTGTGCAGCTAGATAACTGTCTACTTTGAGGGACGTCTTGCCACCCACTTTGAACTTTGACATCTATCACATCTTGATGCCCCCCCATCCCGTTGCATTGGTCTTTGCCAAGTGCTGCTGGCCTTTGCTTGCCCATTCTTTCTTTAAGAATGAATAAGACACTTTAATGCTAACCGGAAGCTCTGTGGGTGAGGCAGAATGTGCTGACTGGTGGGCTGGTACTCAGGGAGGGTGCTGCAGGACCCTCGAATATTAATATTTTAGGTCTTCTGCCTTGAATAAATTTTACCAAAGAGCTGTACTCTGTCAGCTTTACAGAAATTAGTAAAAGGGATTAGGGGATGGGGTTTTTACCATTCAGTATGCCAACTTTTATTTAATTCCCATTTTCTACTAAAAACACAGAACTTTAATTCATCAGGCTTCCCCGGTGGCTCAGAGAGGAATGGCTCTGAGCTGCCCTGTGGCTCTACCTGCAATGAGGAGACCGGGTTTGGTCCCTGGGTCAGGAAGATCCCCTGCAGAAGGGAATGGCAACCCACTCCAGTGATCTTGCCAAGAGAATCCATGGACAGAGAAGCCTGACCGGCTATAGTCCGTAGAGTTGCAAAGAGTTGGACAGGGCTGAGCGACTAATACCTTTAGTAGAAAGCTTGACTTCTTTTCTTATAATAAATGTCCAGTATCCCTGAACACTGAGACCCTCTGACTTGAAATTTACAGAAATAGTCATTGCATCTTATGATTCGGATGGGGAATCTGATTTTCTGACAGTTCTTTCAACCAATCCTGCTTCCAGCCTTGAAGACTATTTTATGAATTTAAAATAAGCTGAGCCTGAGCCCCTTTGATGTTTTGGAGCTCAGGATGGTTGAGGGTTTTTTTGGCCATGCTACTCAGCATGCGGAATGTGGGATCTTCGTTCCCTGACTAAGGATCAGACCCATGCCCCCTGCAGTGGAAGAGCAAAGTGTTTACCACTGGACCACCAGGAAGCCCCAGGATGGCTTCAGTTTTACCAGCGTCTCCCTCTTTCATTATCTAGGTTTCAGATTTTTGCTGTTGTTGTTTGTTTATTTTGTTTTGTTTCTGCCAAGCTAGATGCCCCTCTAATAGCTAATTTAAATTTTAGACGATTTTGATATTTCACCTGTGATATGGTCTTCCCTTTTCTCTTTTTTCCCATGAATCTTTCTGTTTTAAATAATTCTTTACCTATTGTGATAGTGATGTTTCAAGAGGGTATGAAGATAAGCCCCATGTTATGCTAGTTCTCCTGGAACTACTGGTCTTCAGTATCAGGCAGGTTAACATGTATGTGTGCTAAGTTGCTTCGGTCGGGTCCAACTCTCTGTGATGCCATGGACTCCAGCCTTCCAGGCTCCTCTGTTAATGGAATTCTCCAGGCAAGAATACTGAAGTGGGCTGCCCTGCCCTGCTCTAGGGATGGAACCCGGCCCAGGGATCAAACCCACATCTCTCACGCCTCCTGCATTGGCAGGAGGCTTCTTTACCACTAGTGCCACCTGGGAAACCCTGTGTATATTCCTAACTGTTACTCATTTAATCCCCACCACAACTTTGGGAGAATAATTTTATCAAGTATTAGATGGAAGAACTGAGCATCAGGGAGGTAAAGTTATTTTCTTTCTTTTTTTTTTAAGTCATGCAGCTAGAAAATCAAAGAACTGGAATTTAGACTCAGGTCTCACTTCTGCAAGTTCCATGTTTTTTTCTGCACCATTGTAACTGCCCCTTGATGGAGACTGAATCCCTCTTCTGCTGTTGGGTCTCTTTACTTTCTTGGCACAAACATGGTGCAGTTTATTTGAAGACAGACCTGGGTAGAGTAGCTCTGATAAAATCCACTAGCAAAGTGCTTTGTAGTCATTTGCTTGCTCACTGAAGCTTGTTCAGTGCTTTTCACAAACCATTAGGTCTTTCATTTTTAGATTGCACT